TGGAAGAGGGTTCCCCATGGGCTGGGAGAGCGGCCTGGCCGACTCTTCACTCTCCTTCAGCCGATTCAGATACTAAGTCGTATCTCTTGGAGAGAGGTGCAGAAGCTCCCCCTTTGACTTAGGGGGGCTGTTCGCCTTTTGTGTTGAAGGCGGTCTCATGGACCGGTTTTGGTACTTGAACTTTCTTTAGTTTATTTTCATTTTAGTAGCACGACAGTAGTTCGGTAGCGCTTTTTGAATATTGAATTTGGCTATAAGTAGGCCGTTTGCTATAAGGGCTGCTCGCCTTTTTCTAGAACTTCAAGTAGGCTTCGTTATAGCTCCTATTGGTTGGTCGGCCTAATATGAAATTCAGTCTTCCTCCTATACCAGAATGCCTACAGACTAGAAGCAAAGCCTGAAGGCTTAAAACTACTTTGGACCCGTAGACTTAAGACTACTTTGGCAATTGTAGAGACATGCATAATAACCAATAAGTCAATGATATTGCATGTGATTATAATTGCGTATACATTATATATATAAAAGCTCTGTACATAGCACTCGGCCTCACCCATTAGATGAGGCCGAGCAACTCGGCTGAGTCCGAGTTGCCTTGGCCGAGTCCAAATAATGTTGGTTTGTCCTTTATTCTTGGTTGTAGATATGTAGCAGTAATGTAGTTGACGTTATCTCATTTATAAGTTACTTGAAAGAAAAATCTCATCTAACATGAGAATTCTTCCCTCAATGTCATTTTGTAGGAGAGGGTAGGTGAGGGTAGGAGGGACACCATTAACTATTGGAGGGGCGACTCAGCTGCTTTTGCTTTTCCATAATTTAACAAAGGCAAACAGGGATTGAAATCTCGACGAGTCGGCAGGGAATCGGCTGATCAATCTAAGAATCGGTGATCTCGTGCCAATTCTAGCCTAAAACGTGGAATCGGACGATCTCGATCTCGACGGATTCCGATTACCAAGCTCTGAACCTAGATCACTCAATTCAAGTTGTTCCATGAGATCGGGGAGGTATCTTCGATAAGAAGTTTGGTCTTTGCCATTTACTTAGTTCAAGTGTCCCCCATGATACAAGCACCAGAGCCAGGTATAGCGCAGAGGTGGTTGTTTCATCCGTTTATCGAATTGATCCCACGAAACCAGAAGCAGAGGGAGCAACCGATGCCAGCCAGCACGTGAACTGATGAACGGACTATCTCTCTCACTTTGAGGGCCGATGAAGAAGAAGTGGGGGAACCTGACCTAACTGTTTCTCTGAAACTGGAATGGGGGATGGGAGGAAAAAAAAAAAGAAAGAAAGAAGAAAAATGGATTGAATGGGGAGGAAAGAAAGGTTTGTAAACAAAGTCTTTTCTTGCGGACGCCCGCCCGACTTACTCTCGATCGGTAGTCTTTCCGATCATCAGCCGGCCGGGTTCTCAGTATTAAGAATCCGAGATTGGTCTGTCGTCCTCCTCATTATAGTCCTCCTAAGCCGTGATGTAAGTAAATTCTTCCTTCTCTTCGTTAGTTAATCCACCTTTTTCCAAGTAGCGGGATCTGTACTACTTGGAATGGCTCTTTCATATCGAGGAACTAGGGACGTTTCCAATACCGACTGCAGCTCTCCTCCCGCTCAGTCGGAAATCCGCTTCGTTCTTTCCAAGAAAGAAGTGACAAACAATAGGAGAAAAGAGTGTGTAGGATTGGTATTGGTCGCGCGCGGGGTGCCCCAGCTCGCAACTCATCTGGAGAATGAATCCCTGTGTTGAAGATCTACTAGTTGATTCAAGATCTAGGTGATTCACCCTATTGAATTTCACTAGTACCGAAATCAGTCGGGAATCTGAAATGACAGCACAAGCCACTTCTGGACGCTTTGCTTTGTCGCAAATCCAACTCAAGTTTCTCCCCGAACCTCCCCTTGGCCCATCCTGTTTGATTCTGATTGTGGGGCATTCCATGCACCTGCTGGAAGAGGGTTCCCCGTGGGCTGGGAGAGTAGCCTAGCTGCCTCTTCACTCTCCTTCAACCGATTCAGATACCAAATCGTATCTCTTGGAGAGAGGTGTAGAAGCTCCCCCTTTGACTCAGGGGGGCTGTTCGCCTTTTGTGTTGAAGGCGGTCTCATGGACCGGTTTTGGTACTTGAACTTTCTTTAGTTTATTTTCATTTTAGTAGTACGACAGTAGTTTGGTAGCGCCTTTTGAATATTGAATTTGGCTATAAGTAGGCCGTTTCCTATAAGGGCTGCTCGCCTTTTTCTTGAACTTCAAGTAGGCTTCGCTATCGCTCTTATTGGTTGGTCGGCCTACTATGAAATTCAGTCTTCTTCCCATACCAGAATGCCTACAGATTAGAAGCAAAGCCAGAAGGCTTATGACTACTTTGGACCTGTAGACTTAAGACTACTTTGGCAATTGCAGAGACATGCATAATAACCAATAAGTCAATGAGAGTGCATGTGATTATAATTGCGTATATATTATATATATAAAAGCTCGATACATAGCACTCGGTCGAGCAACTCGACCGAGTCCGAGTTGCCTTAGCCGAGTCCAAAAAATGTTGGTTTATTCTTTACTCTTGGTTGTAGATATGTAGCAGTAATGTAGTTGACTTTATCTCATTTATAAGTTACTTGAAAGAAAAATCTCATCTAACATGAGAATTCTTCCCTCAATGTCATTTTGTAGGAGAGGGTAGGTGAGGGTAGGAGGGACACCATTAACTATTGGAGGGGCGACTCAGTTGCTTTTGCTTTTCCATAATTTAACAAAGACATCATTAGTTTTTAACAGGGATTGAAATCTCGGCGAGTCGGCAGGGAATCGGCTGATCATCCTAGAAATCGGTGATCCCGTGCCAATTCAAGCATAAAATGTGGAACCGAGCAATTTTAGAGGGAATCGGCGATTCTTTCATATTTGCTACACTGACATACCGGGTCAACACGGTGACTCGCTAAAGCTCGTGAGTTTACAGCCTTTTCATAGAAATCGAGCTTTTTTTACACCAAAAAACTGTAAAAATCCATCTTTTTTTGCTCAATAATGGAGGGGAATAAGTTACTAAGTCTATAAAACATCTATGGGCTTGGATCAAACCCAAAAAAACCAATTTTCGTGAGATTATTAACTGAAATTTGAGCATTTTTAAGCAGATTTGGGTTTTTCGCCAAAAATCGAATTTTGAGGTTGTTCTTCGTCAATTTGATCTGTTTTTTTTTTTGCTGAATGATCGTGGTAGTACAAGCTTTCATCCAAATCAGGTATGATGATTTGTTGTTTTGTGTTTTAAATTTCCGATAAATTTTTTTAGCTCTTGTTCTTCCTCTTTTTAGGTCCATAAAACATCGATTGGAGTTGGATTGAACCCAAAAAAATGGTGGCTTGTGAATTTTTTTATTGAAATTTTGGTTTTTTTTTAGCGGATTAGGGTTTTCTGCCAAAACTCGATTTCTGTGGCTGTTCTTCATCAATTTGATATGTTTTTTTTGCTGAATGATCATGGTACAACGAACTTTTATCAAAATCAAGTACGGTGATTTGTTGTTTTATATTTTAATTTTGAGCTTTTTTTTTTTGAGCTCGTGTTCTTCCCCTTTTTCTCCATTGATTTGATAAAAAAATTTTAATTTTACGAATTTTTTTTCAGAATGGCTTTTATCCTAGTTCTTTTTGCTATTAGGAGTCCTTGTATTCACAAACTGCCTTACTGGTAGTAACAAACTTGTATACACAGGCATTATTAGTATTTAGCTGTATTTTGTGTTTACCACTTTTTTGTTCTATGTGGTAGATATACTTGCATGAGAATTTTAATATTCTAAATGTCGAAGAACCTAATGAAGAATGTCAAGAGAAATTAATTTTACTTGATCATTTCCATGCACATAGTTTTTTTGTTTTTAAAAGAAATCCTTTACTTTGTCAAGTAAAACTGTTTGAATTGCACATGTGTATAATCTATAGGAGTTTGTTATTATTTCATTTTTATTATTGATTTATTCATTTATTTTTGCAATGTTGGTATTTTTACCTTTCCACTTTATCATAGTTTCCTTGTCTCGCTTAGTGATGTTCTTGTTTACTGGTCAACCCTCATGCACACCAGTTCAAGCTCTGTGACTTAGGAAGTGTAAAAGTTTTGGTGGGTTTTGCTTCCTGCAAAATCAAATTTCCATATAACTTCAAAAACTTATGTTTCTAGTTTTGATGATTTATATATTTTGATTGACAGGTGAAGGGGGAGCCAAATATATCATATATTTGTTCTAGATATTATAGTGCTCCGAAACTGATATTTAGAGCCACTGAGTATACCTCGGTGATTGACATCTGGTCAACTGGTTGTGTTTTGGCTGAACTCTTGCTTGGATAGGTGAATTTTTGCTATTGATTTCATTATGGTTATGTCACTGCTTTAATAATCATAGATGATGAAATTGTATAGTTGCTAATTTATCAATGAACTTTGACAACCTTATCTTTCATTTTGGTATTAGGTCATATTTTACGAATTGTAAGCTTTATTGTAGTCCATGTATAATTATATACTTCATCCATGATAATTCTATGCTTCTTCTTTTATGTGCTGTAAATTTAATGGTTAATAGTAGTTCATATAGGGAAAGAACATCTCAATATTCGTATATTGATGCAAAAACATGAAAGTTATTAGTGTAGTATCTCATTTTCATATTCGATTCCTAAAAAACAACATTTATAATGATTTTTGATAATTTTTTTGGATTTTTTTATAGCCAAATCCGACCGATTCTGTCGATTCCTGATCCGAAATGGTGTTTGGGTGCCTAATTCAGGGCACCGATCCGTATTTTAAACCACTTGTTTGTAATACTCATAGTGCGCACTTTATTCAGCTGTAAATTGTACATTTTTGTTTTTTATATTTTTGGTGGAGAAGATGGATTATTGTAATTTGAATTGCTTATTGATAAACATAATGGTGCATAAAGCATGGATTGGATTATCTTCCTCCTTTTAACGGGTCCTCCAAAAAATATTGAGGTGGTTTGTAGATGGATGATGGGGAGATATCAAAGGGAGACAAGCTTATCATGAGGGGATTGAAGTTCCATGGTTATCATGGGGTGCATGAGGCAGAGAAAAAGTTGGGTCAGAAATTCTTGGTGGATATAGATGCCTGGTTAGATCTGAAAAAGGCCGGTGAGACCGATAATCTGAACGACACTGTCAGTTACTTTGAAATTTACAGGTGAATTGCTATCTCTCTCTCTCACACACACATACTCTTGCAGAGACGAGCAATGTCTGTCATTGTTGAAGCACTAAACACATGCTCCTTACAAGTCAATTTCTTTTTGTCATTTTTATGAAGTTGTTGGTCACAGGTTTGCCATCTCTCTCTCTCTGCAGATTGGTGAAGGGGGTTGTGGAAGGGCCATCCCACAACCTGTTGGAGTCAGTTGCTAACACTATTGCTTGCAGTATATTAACAGCCTACCCTCCGATAACTGCACTTCGTGTGAAATTAGGGAAGCTTCATGTAGCTGTTCAAGGCACCATCGATTATTTGGGAGTCGAGATTTACAGAAACAGGCCCAAGTAGTTTGTCATTTTTGTCAAAGCAATTGTCTCTATTGTATTTTATGAAATATAAACCGAGTTATTCGTCTTTGTTACTGTATTTTGCAACACTTAATCTAGGCTCAAAACCGAAATTTTAAAGTGAAATTCGTGGTTTTTTATCTAGTCTTGATGCTCTTAATTGTTGAAGTTGGAATAATTGGGAGGTTTAGGTCATTGTTTTGTGGGAAATGTTTTACTCCGAAAATAAACTATCCGTCCGGAACAGCAAAGAGCATGAGCTTTCTATAAATAGTTGCATGGGAGAAGCATGAATTGCACTTAATCAGTAACCTGTAAATTCATTCTTGCGGGTGTGCATCTCTGAGAGAGAGCAGCAAAGGTAGCAAAGTATATAAGAGGTCTAATTGCACCTTTTGTTCTCATGGAGAGAGAGGGAGAGAATTATAAAGGTTTAGTTGTACCTTTTGTTGACTCATGTACTCTCTCTCTCTTCAAAAGATCCATGTCAAGAGTTTCTGCTCTCTTCCTCCAATAAAACAAAAACGGGTGCAAGCCATAGAAGAGCAAGAAAGCATAGAGCCCCCACTACTAATCAAAGGGTGTGGTTTGTATAAGTTTGACACCTTAAACAATCAAAACAAGGCCCACCTTTGTCAAAAGATGTCGTTTCAGTACTAAAAACCTTTATAGTGACCTGAAAATTTATTTTCAAGACTTGAATTTATTTATTTTACATCCGTGCATCTCAAGATTAAGATGATAAGATTTGAGGGTCTTTCAGCATCAAAACTTCTTCTAGTTAATTTTTGAGGTGCGCCTTAGTTTGTGCGTTTAGGGCCTCAGCCTCAACCTTATGTTTAATCAAAACATGTACATCAATCAGACGCTGCTAAAATCTCAAATCATGTATAAATCCTCTGCAAAAACCCCAATTAATACATCATCTTTTCCTCTAATGAACAGAAGGAACAAGGAAAACAAAAAAACCACCAGAGGTAAGAAGTTTACAAGAGCAATATGCATCATTTGGGACCTTAGGCCATGGTTTTAGGTTTGCGATGCCATTTTGGGGTGACCTCGATGAGCTGGTGAGGCATGAGCTGACGCTCACGTTTGGTGAGCTTCTTGAATTTGCTGACTCTCAGCCTGGCTACCTCAGTCTCCTCTTCAGGGCTCAGCTCTCTCAAAACCACTGTAAGCCTGCACTCAGGCCTTACTTTTATCCCACTCTTCCCTCTTGCCTTACTTTTCTCCAAATCAGGCACAGCTTTCAAACGATTATTATCATCATCATTCAGGATTACTGGGATACAATCCAGAATATTGTCATTAGAGTTGGTCCCTTCAGATGATAGTCTATTCTGGAAATAAGTCTCAGGATCATTCTTAATTCGACTCATATCTGAAGACCAGCGAAATTTTCCCAATTTTCTTGTAGTGGCGCTTAGCTGCAATTGTGGCATGGAAAAAATTGGAGTTCACCCTCCTTTAACCCATTTGGTTCTGGCCTTCTGTTTGAGAAAAATCTCTTCTTGAAGCAACAACTTGTTGTAATTAGCTTTAGTTGTCTGGAGATTTCCCCAAGTAGTCTCATTCCATTGGGTTTCACGATAAAACTCACACTGTAATATGATGTCCTCAGCTTATTTCAATTTGAAAAGACGCGGCCGAAAAAAGACGGAAACTCAGTGAGGCAGTGATATTATGTCCATGAGAAAGAGTGCGGTGGTGCATTGTCTGCGCATATGGAGGCATTACCTGCTTGGTGGGAAGTTCTTTGTCCGCCCCTTTAGTGATTGTGATAAAGAGCAAACCTTACTGTCATGAAGTCCCGAAAGTCTGAAGTGAAGGATGACCTTCTATTTCAACTATCCTTGGGCCTATCTATCTGTCTGGACACCGAGGCTCCTATTCAACTCTACCGCGCTTTCCTCAGTCCCTCATCCTTCGTTTGATGGGATAGCACTTCGAGTCATAAAAAGTACCAACAATCGCTTTTTAGCCTTTTAGATCGTTTTCTCTTTCTAGTGCCAGTACCCGTTCATTCAAGTAGAGAATTTGACCTTATGTAAGGTAGCGGTAGCAAAGGGGTGAACTGAATAGAAGCCCAAGCGAGAGCAGTTCCGTCGGGAAAAGTCAGCTAGGCATAGGCCCCTATAAGCTAGCAAGCTGGTCCAGTAAGCAAGCACAAGTAGCAGTTCTATCAGGAAAGGGAGGCTAAGTGCTTCAAGGGCTAACAACTCAAGCAATCCGTGGGATACCTTCATAGATCAACAGGTTTGGGTACTGCACGAGGGCGATCAACTGCTTTGGGCAATTTCTTCATCTGCTTTATTAGACTCAATAGGGCAATTTCTTTATCTGATTTGGTAAGATATCCTCTTCTTAAAGAACCCCTTCCCCACAAATGCTTCAGCTGCCATCAGAGAGAGAGAGATTAGTAACATTTAAATATCGAAAATATGAAACTAAAACATGGGAGAAAACAGGAATTGAAACGCCGATTCTATGAAATGCGGGCTTCATGCTATAGAATATGATAAAAATGATGAGATTTTTTGTGTCATATTAGACCATTTCGCCCTTGTACAATAACACAATTGGTGCAAGTTTAAACCAACTTTGGATTTCTTTTTCCCTGTGGTTTTGTTTTTATGTAACAGGGAAGACCTTCAAAGCTTTAAGATGAAGAGGAGAAAAACTGTGGGGTGACATTTGTAATGGTTTAAGTACCATAATGGCACAGTTGTCCATCCTGAAAACTCCCACATGTTTCTCTTAATATTTGAGAAAGTTCAAGAAGATGTGCAAGCCTTATCGATATGCTGTGACGTTCAGGTAACTCTACAGAGGTGCCGAGCTAATCATTTCTAAGAAACAGAAAGGTCATTTCCACGACATGCTCTTGTGTCTATTTTCCATCAAAACCCAAGAAATAGTGTAGTAGCAATTGCAAAAACCGTGTTTCGCAAAGCATACCAACAAGAAGCCTGTCTGGATCGAGTCCATGGTTGTGAGTTGCATTGGCACTGGCAGAGTGTATAACCTGCATCAACAAGAACACAATGTTAATCCAGGATTACAAAATAGGGAAGAAAAAGAAGCTGAAAATGGTATAGACCATCTGGCATTACAGGATGGCTCTTCCATCCGACTTTACCGTTTGAGAAATCAAGGACTAGAGAAAAGGCATTGCATATGAGTCATTCCTGGTCATTTATGCTAGCCATCTTCACATTAAGGAGTGAGAAGCCTTCATGGCCACCACATCTCTCAGTCTCTCACTTATGTATGCCATTGTTCAGTGTAAATTTCATAATACCTGGTAGAATGTCTTTGCAGCTCTCTTCACTGTTGCTTGCAATTGCAATAGTGCATCCTCAACACGCATTCCACGTACTAAAGCAGCCACCAAATTGACCTTCTTAGGACTCTGAGGAACCGTGATTTAAATTATCAGTTAAACACAGAATACAGGCAAAACAGGAAACAAAATACACCATAGAAGAACTGGATACAGCAGGAGAGGAAAAGGAAAGGGATGATGTAAAAGCAAAGGTTTACACTAACAAAAATGCAATGGTTTCTGCCTGCATTTAAAAATTCAGGAAAGAAGAATCTGACAATGAAAGCTCGTTATTTAAATGCTATGATATAGTTGAGAGGATGTTCTTTCAATTGCAGGATAACTATTTTCATTATCCATGTATTACATATTCTATCATTTCTATCCACGTGATGAAATGAAGGAGACCTTAGCAAGGGCCTTAAGTTTCACCTCAAGTCTATTTGTCATGATCTTTCATCTAACTGAATGCCAATGATGTAAACATCATTTGTTCAATCACATGATAGGTTACTTAATAAAAAAAATTATTATTTAATAAAAAAATTAAGGTTAAGTATGTGGCTCTTTCAAGTTCAAAAGGATGATACATTCATTCCTCCACCAAAGCACAAGCCAAATAATAAAGCTATAGTCATCATATAAAGCCCAAAATTATATCTCAAGATTATCAGATGTTTTGAGCCAAGTAAATCCCATAAACAAATGGATAAACTAAGTTGAGTCCAAATTCAACATTTAGATCATTGGTCCTCCCTTTGGCATACAAAAAAAAGTCAATTTCTAATTACCAGTTAGTATGAAAGAGTCACATGTTCCACTTGTTTGGCTTAAGATTCACAAGTGGGAAATCCATAGGAATGGCTAAAGCTATTCTATCTAGATTTCTCCTTGCTTTGTGAGACTATTGTGACCTGCTTCAAAGAAGATTCTCCCAAATTATGTAGAGATTATAATTGTATGAGAAAGTCCCAAAATGAATCTCATTAATTAAAGTCATGCAGACTTAAAGCCCATTAGCTAATACATCAAGATCAGATAATTTTGAAAATGAAACATATATCTGATCAGACTAATTATAGATGCACATCCATATAACAATTTACATATCTGTATGTTTAATTTCTTTTTGAATGTTAACAGTGTAGTTATTATTAATGTAAGCCATAATACATCTCAATGTCAACAGACTCCAAGGAGATGTCATGGTGACATCCCCACTAAATTACTCAAACACAAAAAAAGTGCCGCTCTCCATATCCACCTGACAAGGGAAAGGGTTATCACCACTGTTTCAGGTCTATTAATGGGAGAGTTGAAGTTCATAACAATGGATGGTTTTGGTGGATTTTTTAGTTGGCCATCCCGATGCAAATAGTTTTGATTAGGGATGGATTAGCCATAAAAGGGATTTATTTCATCCCAAACCAAAAAAAAAGTAATTTGTCGCTCTATTCTCGTGGAGTGAAGAGAGGTTGTGTTTTTCATTTTGGGGCTTAGGGTAATGGCTTCTCCTGTTAATGCCTTATACTCCCTTTTTCTTTCTTCTTCTATCTATCTCTAGTTCTCATTTTATTGTGAGTTTTCTTGAGATTTTTTTTTTTATCTTCTGTTTTTTAATCATTTGTGTAGTTCTATGGGATTAAGATTAGCAAAATATTGCATTACTGAATCAGTGTTAGCTTTGATTTATTTAGCTAGTTTTCTTTTTTTGTGGTATATGAATTGCTTTCAGTGATGTCGTACATTGATATTGCATTTTAGTGTTTCTTAAGATTTTCTTTTTTATCTTCCGTTTTTTAATCATCTGTGTAGTTCTATGGGCTTAAGATTAGCTGAATATTGCATTACTGAATCAGTGATAGCTTTGATTTATTTGGCTAGTTTCCTTTTTGTGGTTTATGAATTGCTTTCAGTGATTTGGCACCTTGATATTGCATTTTGGTGTTTTTTTTTTTGGTGAATACCTTTTATGTGGTTTATGTGAATACTTGGAGGATGGAACAATTTGTTTAAGTTTAGCTGGTATTAATTTATGGTCGAAGCGACATTATTGGCATTTGGCAAGTCCAAGTGATGATCTCTATATGATTTCCATGTGGCATTCTTTATTGTCATGTTTTGATCACCCTTTTGGTTTTCAGAGATGACCCATGATGACATTATTTCTTCAATTATGACAAAAGAATTTCGAGGTATGTGTGTGGAGCCATTTACCAAAAATTAAATTTACTATATTTAAAGACACACTCCAAAGAATAAGTGTGTCATCATGTGGCTCTTTACATTGCTATTACTATATTTAAAGACACACTATAACCATTTACCAAAGAATAAGTGTGTCATCATGTGTGGACCCACAGGATGACACAATTATGCCATTATCGTGTGTAAACAAAAGACACACTATAACCACTATATTCTTTGGTAAATGGTTATAATGTAAACAAAAGACACTATATTCTTTGGTGTGTAAATTTACCAAAGAATATAGTGTGTCTTTTGTTTACACACCAAAGAATAAGTGTGTGGAGCCACATGATGACACAATTATGACATTGTCGTAAAAGAGTGGTACGGTTATAGTTATCTGGCACTCGCTTAAAAGTGTTAATCAACCATGTCAGCCGGATAATATAATGGTTACGACTAGGTGACAATTGTCATATTATACGGGCTATATAATCCCTGCAGCTCTTCACTCTCCTCAAAGTGACCACTACACCAGTCACCTTTAAACGGAGAATTTTTCATACATTTTCAAGAGCAGACATCATCTCTCCGACTTCTAAATTGAAGTGCCCGGTGTTTGTCGCTACATGCCACCTCCCGATAATAGTAGACAATGTGCTACGGTCATGGTGAGTCATCGGTACTATGGTCAGAGGATACAATCCTAATCTCCAGACCTAATCGATTTGATCATTGTTTGTTAAAGGCCACAAAGAAGTTGCATTTGGCTTCTCATCAACCCTGAGGGGATTTTCCCGATCCTGAATTGGAATTTGTGATTTCAAATACTAAAATAAATAAATTGATTAACTAGCATGATAGACAAAGAATATAATTTTGAAACAGTTGTACACACATATCGTTCTTAGATCTTCTGTAATATATGTTCTCTTTGTCTATTCAACAATGCAAGAATATTAGGACCTCCAAGGAATGGTGCATCTTCTGCCATGGTCCCTATTCAAAAAGCTATCATAAACAACAAGCTCATGGTAAATAGACTATTATTAGTCTATCAGATACTTGACCAATGACCTTCAAAGTAAACGAATAAGATAAAAAAGAATTATTAGTTTATCAAACACCTGACCAATGATAGACAACAATTTTGCATGCTTGCACACATGATCAAAGTTTAGCCAGAATATTGTTTAACATTCAAAATTTCTTTGGATCCAATTTAGAAGAACCATATTGATATGCAACATCTTTTAATCAACATGATTTGAAAATGCAGAACTCATTGAAGTTGTTACTATATCATGATTCACATTCAAATTGGGACTCACATTTAAATTATCATATCACTCATTTTATTCAATTTATGAATTGGATGAGTCAATTGCTCTAGTGAATATCATCCGTCCAGAAGTTGGAATAGGAATATTCTACTTATTAACAGATAAAAAAGATCGTATATGTGATTCAAGTAGGTTTAATTACGGTTTTTTTACAAACAGCTGACTTGAATCTTTTTGTACAAGTGAATCAAGTAGGTTTAATCACAGTAATTACTACACAAAATGCACAAAAGAGAGTAAGCCCTAGGTGTGAGTACATATCCTGAATTTGGTTATCTCAAACGATGAAGATATAAATCCCAACTATTGCATAATGAAAAATGAATACGAGAATATTAGAATAAAGTGCGAAAAAAGAAAAACACAACGCTGAACAAGTTCAAATAAAATAAGATTAGAATATATAAATAATAAAATCAATTATCACACCATCATACGGTATGCTCCAAATGTGGAATAAAAAAATCTACATACAACATAATCTATAAATTTGGAGATAGATTTTTTACCTCAAAGATTTGATGAGGTGGCATAAATGAGGGAGAGAGACCTGTGAGAGATAGAGCACCACAAAACTTGAGGTTGAGAACCGTAAAGGTTGAGAGCCCTACCACAGTAAAATCAGAACCGTAAACACAAAAAGGGCCGCCGTAAAGGTTGAGAGCCCTACCACTGTAAAATCCGAACCGTAAAGGCAAAATGGCTTTGGGTTAGGGTATATAACTTGCAAAATTATTATGGCATTTCGAGTGCCGTAATACAAATTCAATTTCTTACGGTTAAAAGAATACCATAAGAATAACTTTAAGTATTACAGTACTTAAAGTACCATAATATTACTTCGGGTTATTACGGTATATGAATTAACGTATAACTTGTAATATGTATTACGGTAAAACGACTACCGTAAAGGTTATTTTCGTAAAAAAAAAGAAGCAAAAAACAATGAAAAAGGGTGTGGACGAGTTTTAAGAAAGTTGGGTTTTTTTTTTTCTTCTAATGAAATTTGAGGTATATTTTTGATAATTTCCCAAAAAATTAACCTTATATGATTGAAAAAAAACCTTCCAAATTTCATATAGTTAGATTCAAGTGCTTGATAACTTCAAATGTAATTCCATAATTTTAAAATACTTATTTAATGATTGTAATTCCACCATAGCATATCCCAAGCCTGCAAAAACAAGGAGGGTTGTGATAGGTTGTCATTTAATATAAAACTCGTACCACATCTATTTTCATAAATCTTAAAAAGATAAGAAATATGATAGAAATCAACATGAATATATTTAGGAGAACCTAGATGTAGCTGCATTAGGTGATAAGATGAGGAAAAATAGACTTAGATGGTCTGGTCATGTGCAACATGAACCTGGACAACAATATTTCGGAGGGATAATTTGGTTCAAGTGGAATGCTCTAAAAGGGCAAAAGGATGACCCAAAAAGACATGGATAGAAATAGTGAAAAGAAATATAATGACTTATAGTTTGACTAAAGCAATAGCCTGTGATAGAACGGAATGGAGGAACAATTCGTGTAACCGACCCCAAATAGTTGTGATAAGG